ATGCCAAGGAGGAAAGACATCAGCAATGATCTTAGAGAAGCAATTGTTGATGGCCATTAAACTGTGAAGGGTTACAAGGCCATTTACAAACAATTTAATGTCCATCAATTTTCAGTCAGGAAGATTATTGAAAAATGGAAAACATTCAAGACAATTGCTAATCTTCCCAGGAGTGAATGTCCCAGCAAATTCACCCCAAGGTCAGATTGTGCAATGCTAAAAAAAAATGCAAAAAACAAAAGTCAAATCTCAGACTCTACAGGCCTCAGTTAGCATGTTAAATGTTAAAGTTCATGACAGTACAATTAGAAAAAGACTGAACTGGTTTGTTTGGAAAGGTTAAAAACAACATGGGAGCACGGCTTAGGTTTGTAAAGTTGCATCTAAACAAACCACAAGATTTCTGGAACAATGTCCCTTGGACAGACGAGACCAAAGTGGAGATGTTTGGCCATAATGCACGGTGCCACGTTTGGTGAAAACCAAACTCAGAATCAGTACAACCCCCTTATACCAACTGTCTAGTACAGTGGTGGAGGGGTAATGATTTGGGCTTGTTTTTTAGCCACTGGACTTGGGAACCTTGCAGTCATTGAATCGAACATGAACACCTCTTTTTACCAAACTATTCTAGAGTCACATGTGAGGCAGTTCAAACTTGGCCAATATTTGGTCATGCAACAGGAAAATTATCCCAAGCCCACCAGCAAATCTATTACGAAATGGCTGAAAAAGGAAAGCAAGATGGCACGGTGTAATATGTCATGTGCTGTTGTTCATCTGTGTCACATTACCTCGTGGTGCCCAGGCTGTGTCCCTGAAGGGAAGAGGGACCCTTCCAACTGTCCCCCTCATCTCACCAGCGGTTCCATCGCCGGGTGCTGTAGTTCCGCTTAGACTATATTCCGGCATAGACTATATAAAGAACATTGAGGGTGCTAGTCATTGCCCTTTAGTGGTTTCTGTTTTCAGTTCCCAAGAGTGCATTATATTCTATGTCTATTTTGGTATTTTGATTTTGGCTTTCTCATAACTATTCTCCGTTCTGTTCTCCCTGACTCGGCTATTGGTTTTTCACTTCCCTGATTTCTGGCTTCCCTGACTCGACTTGTCCCCAGGGCCGCCACCAGGGCCCCTGACAAAGCACAAGGTCTGGCCCCACCCCCGCCCGGCCGGCCTCCCCCTCAATGAATGCAGTGTGTGTTAGTGTAATGGATGCAGTGTGTGTGTCAGTGTAATGAATGCAGAGTGTGTGTCAGTGCAATGAATGCAGTGTGTGTGTCAGTGCAATGAATGCAGTGTGTGTTAGTGTAATGAATGCAGTGTGTGTTAGTGCAATGAGTGTGTGTGTTAGTGTAATGAATGCAGAGTGTGTGTTAGTGTAGTGAATGCAGTGTGTGTGTTAGTGTAATGAATGCAAAGTGTGTGTTATTGTAATGAATGCAGTGTGTGTCAGTATAATGAATGCAGAGTGTGTGTCAGTGTAGTGAATGCAGTGTGTGTCAGTGTAGTGAATGCAGTGTGTGTCAGTGTAGTGAATGCAGTGTGTGTCAGTGTAATGAATGCAGTGTGTGTGTTAGTGTAGTGAATGCAGTGTGTGTCAGTGTAGTAAATGCAGAGTGTGTGTTAGTGTAATGAATGCAGAGTGTGTCCCCGTGTAATGAATGCAGTGTGTGTTAGTGTAATGAATGCAGAGTGTGTGTTAGTGTAATGAATGCAGTGTGTGTGACAGTGTAATGAATGCAGAGTGTGTGTCAGTGTAGTGGATGCAGAGTGTGTGTTAGTGTAATGAATGCAGTGTGTATGTTAGTGTAATGAATGCAGAGTGTGTGTTAGTGTAGTGAATGCAGTGTGTGTGTCAGTGTAGTGAATGCAGTGCGTGTTAGTTTAATGAATGCAGTGTGTGTGTCAGTGTAATGAATGCAGTGTGTGTTAGTGTAATGAATGCAGAGTGTTTGTTAGTGTAATGAATGCAGTGTGTGTGTTAGTGTAATGAATGCAGTGTGTGTTAGTGTAATTAATGCAGTGTGTGTGTTAGTGTAACGAATGCAGAGTGTGTGTGTGTTTACTAGTGTATGCATAACGTAATAATGTAAATGTAATCTGTTATCCCCCCCTCCCTGTTTCTTACCTGGTCCAGGGAGGGGGGATATTCCATGATCCCTGATGGTCCGGTGGCATGGTGTACTTGCAGAGGGGGCCCAGCGGACTGCAGCTGTACTTTACAGCATTTCTCTCGCTCTAACTCCCGCGAGACATGCGCACACCACATCTCGCGGGAGTTAGAGCTAGGGAAATGCTGTAAAGTACAGCTGCAGTCCGCTGGGCCCCCTCTGCAAGTATAGGGAGCCGGGGGCCCGTGGTCCTGGTATCTCCTGATATGTAAAACCATAGAATTCAAAGAGGGTGTACTTTTTTCCATGACTGTATGCTTCTAGTTTGACTAATTTGGCCTTTAGTTTGAAATTCACTTTGAATTAACTTTGAATTGCTGACATTTCTCACTTTAGTGAATAACGCCATAAGCAATCATAGGTGTAACAAGGGGAAGGCAGAGGGGTCCTAATGGGGCACCCTGCCAGCATTAGAGGAAGACTATTTTTGATGCATTAACATGTCCAAAGTAGGCCCAATGTCAGCCTCTCCCCTCCTACACTACTCCCCAGCAGGATTGGGAAGAAGTGATATTACATCAGATCACTTCCTCTCAGCACTCTGTGAAAGCAACATAGGAGGGAGATCCTCCATTAGCTGCAGAGTTAAATCTAGACCAAAGGAAAGCTACCCTCCTGCACTGATATGGTAAGCAAAAAGGAGGGTGGCTGAAAATAGCATGCACTTTGATAGTTTTGTGAGTGTGGGTGTCTGCATGTACCTGTAAATGTGTATGTATGTGTATGTGAATCTGTGAGTATAAGTTGAGTGTGTATTAATCTTTGAGTGTGAATCTCTGTGTGAAACTTTGAGTTTATGTGAATCTGTGTGTGTGAACATGTGAGCGGGAATCTGTGAGTGTGTTAATTTGTGAGGGTGAATCAGTGTGAATCTGTGTCTGTGAATGTGTGAGTAAATCTGTGTTAACCTGAGTGACAAAACCCCTGTTTTGCCTTCCCCCAGAGTCATTCTCCTGCTCAGTTCGACCATCTACTTAATATTTGATTCCCCTATCCTGCTACCATGCAAGAATACATAGTACCGAACGCCGACCACCCTCCTGGCTCATTAAGTTCAAAGAAACCACAAGAATTAAGTGCTCTCTCTGTGTGGCCGCCGTTCGTATAAACGAACGCTACGTGGTGGAGAAAACGGTATCCATCTTTAAAGTGAATTTCAAATTTAAGGTCAAACAGGCCAAGCTGTAAGCGTAGCAGACAAAGAATATTTATAGTTTAGGCTAGCAAAAAGAATAGTAAAATCTAGGCCAAAGGAAGCAAAATTGGAAAATCTTTAATAAATGCTCATAAAGAGTTTATTGGAATTTTAGTTAAACTCAAACCCAGTCAAAGGACAAGACAGAGTAGGAACTTGACAAAAGGCAGAGCTACTTTTGTCGACCCTTGTGAAGCCCACTAGTGAAAGGTAAGGGAAACACGCTCTTTCCTGCTGTTGCATGATCCTCCATAGACAACAGTGTTGTACTTTCGCTCATTTGCGTGAGTACAACGCTGTTGTCGGGTACCAGCAAATGTGCCAGGAGCCGAAGCGAACCCCAAGGAAGAAGATGGCGGCTCCCATGAGGGACAGGTTCACATAAGAAAAAACACCTTTCCTTGTAACCCTGGGACACCACAATATAAGAGGAGCAGTAACCACTCGGGAGCTTTGCAAAATATACAAAGACCGCAGAAGATGACAGATCCAGTTTAAACTTACTTTATCTGCCATTTATTTTTTGCAATGGGTAAAGAATTGTGTACCTAGAGGCAACTGACATGGAAATCTGGCTCATGTTCACTGAAAATGTTCTTCTCATTTTATTCCCACAGAAACTAACCTTTGAATTAATTGTATAAAATCATTTATTTAAATTCACATTCACATTCACTAATGTTATCATTATATGTCACAGATGAATTTGTTCCCGCCATTTAAATAATTTAACACATTCTCTGGATTTAATGGTTTAATTGGTGTTGATTTTGGTTAAATTTAAGTGACTAATTTAATATCACCTGAACCATGCTTTTACTGGTGCATATGTGGAACTCTAGTAACAAATCCTCATGCTGCAACACTGTAAATAAAAGTTTTCATCACATTCGGTCTATTAATAGAATACATCATCTTTTCATTTGTTATATCATGCAGTGAGAAATACATCTGCTGCTGAGATGTAAATGATATGTCTATGCGCGTCCGGGGGGGACATAATTATAATGACATCCATGCTTGGCCCCTTTTTGACAGTGTCATGAATGGAAGGGGCATAATCATTATCACATAAAGCCAGGGTGAATAGCGTTTTCACAACTATGGTGTCAGGAATATATGTATGTATTCCTGACACTATTGTGTTCCTTTAATCAAATTAAATGAACATTCTGGTAACAACTACATCTAGATGAAAATGCTATGATGCCAGGAGGCCCCTGGGCGCTCTCTTTCCTTTAAGGGGTTAAACCGCTCTCAAATGGTTTAACCCCAAAGACCTCCTTCCAGCTCCAGATCTCCAGGTCGCTCAGTGGTATTCGGCTTCTGAAATTGAGTTTCAGGAAGTGCAAATTGAAGTCAGCCATGGATGCCGCTGATTGGCTAGAGTGATCAGCCAATCGCTAGTTCCTGGTTCATAAAAATGTTTAACTTTTTTATGAATGGGGAGCTACTGATTGGCTTAGAGTGCCAGCTGACTGCTCTAGCCAATCAGCGACACCCCTACCCAACGGCACTGTGTGCCTCCTGACACTCAACAAATAAAAAACACATCAACACTGAGATTTTTTTTTTACCTGGGCCCAGATTCCAAAGCCTTATAATGTGGTGTCTAGAATGAAGTAGATGGATCACTTCACTTGTCCTTCTTGCTCCAATCTCCATTTCTTCTTCTTCATTTGACACAGTCTTCTTATTTTTCTGACACTGTCTTCTCTCCTCCTTGGCTTCTTCTGCTCCTTTACCTTTCTGCTACTTTCTGCTTCTTTTGTGCCCTTCTGCTCCTTTCTCTTTCTGATCCCTTTCTGCTCCTTGCAGACCCGTTCTGCTCCTTCTCCTACTTTATCTTCATGCTCCTTCTGCTCCTTCCAGCTCCTTGCTGCCCCTTCCAGCTTTTTGCGGTCCTTTTCTGCTCCTTCTCCTACTTTACCTTCCTCCTCTTTGCTGTTCCTTTCTGCTCCTTCTCCTACTTTACCTTTGTGTTCCTTCTGATTCTTTCTGCTCATTTACCTTCCTGCTCCTTCCTGCTCATTTCTATTCCTTTCTGCTCCTTTTACTACTTCACCTTCTTCTGCCCCTTCCAGCTCCTTGCTGCTCCTTTCTACTCCTTGCTGCCCTTTCCAGCTCCTTCAATCATCTCCAATCCCTATGGGCACTAATTCAACCTTCAATATAAGTTGATATTTTTTTGGTTCTTCTCATGCTTTGTATTACAGTCCACCGATGTTGCTACTTGATATTTAAGGCTTACATATCAAACAATGGTGCATCGGGCCTTAAAATTATATAAAGCGTTTCTCTTTTTTTTTCTATAAGTTTGTGACATTTTATATTGCCATGCATTTACATGAGCTCTGGAATAGTAAGAATTATATATTTTATTATATACATATGCAGCTCACTGAAAAGGAGTTTATGGGATAAAAGCCATATCATCGTCTCTGTAGCAACTGGAGTTTTGCAGCAAGCAAATTAAATTTAGAGTTGAGTGAATTATTTTTTATTTTTTATTTTGCTGTTTAGTTATTTCAGTTTTAGTTTCTTGATTCCACCCTGTGACAAACTCCCCTTTTTAAGGGAGTTTGCCATGAGTTTTTGGAGGGGCCTGCTTGCCCGCCTCCTGCCCTGTGACTATGGCCCCTTGGATGTATTGCCCTTTAAAAGCGTTATTTGGGCATATTGGATTTTGTTACACTGCTTCTGCCCCTACTACGAGAAAGGATTTGTACATTTGAAATGGCACTTTGGATGCAGCCAAAGTGCCAAAGTAGTCGACCATTCGACACGTGGCGGCGGCCATTTTGTTTAGTCAAACACAGTTCAGCGGTGTTAGGTCGTCGAGTTCATGGAACTCACATCAGACACTCAACGGCACAAACACCGCTGAACTTTACCTTCTATGTGTGTAACGGATCACCTGGCACCCCGACTGGGTACCTCCGTTAAAGGATGCTCCTAGCACTTCCTGAGGACTCCAAGCACTGCAGCAGACACCAAAATCACTGAACCATAGGAGCATATGAATGCTGTATACAGCCGAATAGGAAAAACCATGCGAATAGGTTTACACTCCTAGCAGTCAAACTGGAACAGCATACAATAAATCCTCCCCCAATAATGAGACGACACTTCACTTTGAGGGTTAAGCAGGAACTGACTGGACTGGCACATACAGACTCTTTTATTCCCAATCCACAAACTTAGTACTGCCCACAGGGTTTTACAGAACAACCAATAACACACGTACATTACAGAAAGACACTCCCACACAAAATCCTCCCCTCTGCCTGTGATACGATTACCTTACACAATGGGTAATCTAATTATCACAGACAGAGAAATACAGTTTCATAAAACACATCACAGGGACCCCAAAACATGCAATAACCCCATAAAAGTATATCCTTGGAACCAGGGGATCTGGGTGAACCACATATCCAAAATTCACCCAGATCCGTTCAGTACTTTGGAAGATACAGTTTAATGCAGATTCTGCAGAACATATACAGGCTAAATGAAAAACAATCACTGTATAATGTGTCCCCTGCTGTATAGTCCAAAACCACTGCACAATGTCTCTGTGCACCAATTACTGGCGAGATAGGACCGTGTTGAAAAGTCCAAACAGTGTCTGTGAGTTAAAATGGCCGCCATCCATTGTTCTCACCATGTGCTTCATCCATTGTTCTCACCATGTGCCTCTGATACAGGAAATGGTGGCCACCCAGTAACTCCACAGTATGTCCCCAGATGGTTCTTAAAGGGCCAGCAGCAGCACAACACAAATCCCTTATGCCCAAATCATGTCTTTAAAGGGCAATACATCCCAGGGGCCATAGTCACATGGCAGGAGGCTGGCAATCAGTCTTCTCCAATGCCCAGTAGCGAGGTCGGTTTCGCCACATTTCTCCCCTTTTACAAAAAGACTAACAAGGTATCTGACCTCCTGTCGGTCAGTGCCTTGGTTAGTCCAGCAACCCACCTACAAAACAGAATCCGCAGTATAACCCACCCACGAAAATTGGTTACTACACCTGGAGTAGTTGGTCGCTTGTCCAGGTCCAGGAGCTCCACCTTGGCTCTGGGGGGTACTAGCACTCTGGATCGATGGGTTGCTGGGTGGGCAGAGACCAGCGGTACTCTGCCCTGGTGCGAGCGCTACCACGGGAGTAGCCTGGTTGGAGCCCAGGTGAGGGAACGGCGTAGTAGGCTCCTCACTCCAGACCTGGGTCTGTGCTGGAGGGGAAGACAGGCTGTCTCCCCTTTGGATAAACAGCCCTGCTGCAGGGGGACAGGACCGACTGTCCCTACACCCTGTGGTTTGGGCACAGAGACCATGGTCCCATCTGCACCGGTGTGGGGCTTATCATCTCCTCTTGGTGGGCTAGGCTGATGCTGAGGAGAGGGGGTAACAAGCTCCTCTCCCATACATCCTTTCAGCCACTGGGGAGAGGGGATAACAAGCTCCTCTCCCTGACACTCTCTCTGCTGTTGGAGAGGGAGACCAACGGTCTCCCCTTTCAATAATTTGTCCTGTCGCTGGGGAGAGGTGATAACTGGTTCCTCTCCCTGGACCACTACTAGCACTCTGGATCGATGGGTTGCCCAAATCATGTCTTTAAAGGGCAATACATCCCAGGGGCCATAGTCATATGGCAGGAGGCTGGCAATTAGTTTACTCCAATGCCCAGTGGCGAGGTCGGTTTCGCCACAATGTGACTTCGACGCTTCGACAGTAGTCGAATGGCGTTCGACTATACAAACGCCACATTGACATTGACATGTGCACGAACAGTTGCCATTCGTCTGTTTGAACTGCATTTTATATGGGAAATAGACCGGCCGCACAGCCCAATTCTCTGGAACTGTTCGGCTCCATGGGATGATAATACTCCCCGCCTGCCTCAACATGCCAACCGGGGCAACAAGCAGAACTTGTAAACCAATGCATTATAACAAATTATAAATGTCTGTGAGCATATTGTTTTTACCTAGCCTAGCTTAACGAATACCAAGCAATATATGGTGGGGCTATCTTCCTAACCACGTATGTACCATTGCCTCCCTTAAGTAGAGGTTTAGCACGCCCCTGGGAAATACAACATTTTGCTGCCCCTGGGACATACAAAATCCTGTTAACTATACACAGATATTTGGCTGGCCGCCCTATAAGGTGCAATCCCATCGACCTGTAACCCACTGGGCATTTCTCCACACATTACGCATCGCCCTGCACACAACCAACTGTCATGCAAATCAGACACCAATCTTTATATATAACGGGGAACACAACCTCAATCTAACTGATAGCAACACGATTACATAAACGACACCCAATCGACTATTATTCATGCTAAAACACAAAATATGCGCAATATCTCGCTTAACCAAGCTAGTTCTAAATATATAAAAATGTGCGAAATTTCATGCCACTGCTTAACTTCTGTAAACCTTGAATCACGCTGTTGTGGCGTATGTCGATATCCTGTAACCACCTGCACAACAAAAATAAAAAATTTAAATAAAAAAAAGGCTTGCTTTATCTTATATTTTTTACATTTTTAAAATCTTTTTATGAAGGCATCTCTTTCCAGTTAAATATATCTATATATATATTTGTAGTCGGGAACATAAGCCGTTATAATAAGATAATAGAATAGTGATATAATTAGAAGTAAGCACCAGTCGGTTGTGGTGTGCCTGAACCGATGTATGGGGTGGGCCTGTATTAAAACAGGGCAAAAAGGTGATGTATACAAACAACCTTTATTACATACATGTTACAAAGCTAAACCTTTAAATGGTAATCTAAATTCCTGTTCTGGCTGTGGTATATAACTGTTATATGCTGCTGATTTCCAGCATCCTAACCTTTTAATTATATGAGCAGGGACATTGTGACTTGATGCCGCGGAAGTGGCTCCAAATCTGAAGGAGTGGCCAGAAAAGGCAGGGGGGTCAAGATCAAGTCCAATGTAAAGTGTTCTGATGTATAATATGAATTTAGTAGTGGTTAGAGGTTTGCCATGTAAAAGGAGTAATGGAGTATTTGGGTTAACACCGTCTAGTGTTGAACAATATGTGTCTAGTAATTTAACTGGACACCAGTAATTACTGGTAGGGTAATAGCATACTTTAGTAGGAGAGCCTAACTGGGTTGTTTTAGTGTGATCAATGGTATGTACGTAATGGTCAGTATCTTTTTGTAGACTCATAATTTTCAGGTGCGGATGGTTAGACGTAATGTTATTGGTAGTAATTTTATTTTGACGTAAGAAGCCATAGAAGGCTAGATAGGCTGCCGTTTTAATTAACAGATTAGTGCTGGTTTCAAATGGATTGGTATCTAGAATGTCTGAAAGTGCATGATTTTAGACCCGTCAATAGGAAGTCTAGTAGTGGTAGTAGGTTTGTCCAAGTGTTGTATGCCTTTCAGAATATTCGTAACGGGATAGGTGGACATGATAGGATTCAGTCTAAGGTAGGCACTTAGGATGTGATGTTGTATTCTAGTGATGTTGCGCTCTAGTCCAGGATTAGGTCTTGGTATGAGAGAGAGCTGACCTATAGATGGCTAGGACACATAGTTTTTGTGTGTGCTCTGAAACAAATTGAGCAGACGTGCAACAATCTGCATGAGCTCAATCCGCAACTGTCATAATTAAAATTGTTGCAGATTTGAGCTTTCCACAGATAAACTATGGATCTACCCAATTTGTCTTTAATGCCTCTGTTTTCTACAGTGGAAGAACCGAAGGAAGCACGACTAGTGGTAGGAAGGCTTGGATCTACTGGGCACAAGTTGGTGGAGTGTGAGATAGAGGCACATAAGGCACAAGATGGTGGTTTTTGACCGGCAAAATGGCGACAGAACATTTCTACTCCAGTCGGTGTGGGTATTAAATTGAGTGAAGGATGCCGCTGCTTTTGGTCCACCAACTTATACATGTACAAATCCATCTCTTACCTACCATGAGGAGACTTGGAACAGATTACATCACGATAA